TATGAAACTTAAAAATCAATTTAAACTTGAACACCTAAATAATACTCCAAAATGGGAATTCTCAGTATATGCAACATTACATAGAACACAAAAGCATTATTCTAAATATATTTCACTTTTGTGTTCCCTTAGGTACCTGGTTCCTCTCAAGAACATAAACTAGAACTTATAAAGTAACATGGGCATAATACTTCATTTACTTTTTTATACACTTACTTTTTGACAATCATAAAGAGGAACAAGACTTCTGTTACAGAGGTAAAATTATATATTAAGGATTAGGTAGAAAATGCCTACTTTAAAAAGTGGACATCTTGGGACGCCTGGGTGGCTCAGTCAGTTAAGCGTCTGCCTTCAGCTCAGGTCATGATCCCAGAGTCCTGGGGTCGAGTCCCATATCGGGCTCCCTGCTCGGTGAGGAGCCTGCTTCTCCCTCTGCCTGCTGCTCCCCCTGCTTGTGTGCTGACAAATAAATAAAATCTTTAAAAATTAAAAAATTAAAAAAAAAAGTGGACATCTTGGCAAACATTGTCATCTGATTTTAAATGATTTTTTTCTAGCATCTACATTAAAAATTCACATTTGTGATAGAAAGCAGTTTCTAAAATACAAATGGACTTTTTCTGAAGAGTTGGGAAGTCACATTTTTAAAGTTTATATATACAATAAAATATACATGTGAAAAGTAAAACATCTAATCAATTAGTAGAACCCCACCAACACAATGTTTGTCACCATATTTAAAAGCATTTATTTAAAATATGTCAAAACTCCTTCTAAAAGACGAAGACATGAGCCCATTTCTTGTATTAACGAGGTATATGGTAACAATGACAAAATTCCTAAATGTATATGGACCATCAGTTGCCTAAATATAAAAATGAACTTTGGCAAAGATGTAAGTGTTCTACAGAACAACACAACCAATGCAGCATCTCCCCGTATCATGGCCCTCGTCCCCCATTCACCCTTCCCCCTTTCAAAGGGCGAGTTACAACCCTGCCCCAGGTGACTCAGAATTTTAATTATGTGGTCTGCTAACATTTATTTTTCTCGAACCTCAGGTACTACAGCTATTACAAATTACACTTTTAAAATATTTGAAACAGATATTGAATTTATTGGTTGGCTATGAGTAGGAAAATACATCAGTAAAGAAAAGAGACCCTGTATATAAATATAATACTAGCTAGTTACAATTTGACCAAGAAGGTTCCACTGAAAAGAACAGTAAAAGCCCTTGTTACCACCAGTCCATAGGTACATATTCGGTTTCCCATCACCCTTATCAAAGAGCTGCCTAGGCAAATGCGACATTCTTTGAGCTTAGTGCAGATAATGTGCTGGGTTTTGTTACATGAATGGTAAACAAAAATTAGTCCAGTGCATTACACAATATAATGTACTGTGAATAAAGACTAGATACTCTATTTTAGACACTACTTCAACATACCGGTTATTAAATTTTATGTAACCAAAAAGAAGAGCAAAGTGAACATCTTAAAATACTGTTTACGAGTAGGGGAGAAACACTTGCTAAAGATGTTCTTTGAATTATCTGCAGCATTTGTACTGAAAATTCTGATTGGTTCATCAAAAGAACAAACTGCTGTTAACTATTCTGCCTAGGTTGGCTTTTGTCTTAATATGACATGACCCCAAAACTTTAAGTCACTATGGAAACTAATTCCATGAATTTAAACAGTAAAAAAAAAAAAAAACGGAATAATACAACTGGAATTTATTACTGAAAACCTGAATCTTAGAAGAGCTTTGAAATGTTAATTTCAACATTTAGAAGTGCATCCCACCCAATTTAATAATGTCCTTAGGTTTCAAAGTGCTAACTCAATATAAGTTTTGCTGGCTGTCACCAAATCAAGAATAAAAACACATTTCTTGGAGATGTTCCTTGACTGTCTTCTAGGACTAGTAAAGTTGCAATCAACAATTTATTTCTACTTTAGTTTAAATTATGCCATAAATTAATTTTGATGAACATTATTTAAATTCTCAACGCATAAATAATTACCAATAACACGGTAAAATGTACTTCAAGAGATTTACAACAAGGAATTGTGTGCCTCCAAATTTCTGATCAGTAAAAACAGAAAACATACCCCAAATTTTCTGTAAAACATTCATAAAATGGATTTATCCAGCAAGAACACTGAAATTACATTATGGCAACACCACATTAAATAGATCTGTTACAGAATTTTGAAAAAAAATCTATACTGAGAAAACATAGTAGTTTTTATTGCATTTTAAAGAGTTTGGATTATTGGAAATTATCCAGGACACAGAAGATATTTAGAACACAAAACCTTGCTTAACAAAAGTATCAATCTATTTTGGTGTGACTGTTTATTCCCTACAGACCCAAAATATTTCTTCCTCTTTTGAAGGTTACAGTTGTAAGTCTACACTCTTGGTTCAATTTATCACTGTCTAAATAAGATGGAGAGGCTGTTCAAACTGACCCACAGAATGCAGTGTGCCCAGAAGAGGCAAGAACAAATAGTCTCAAGACATAACAGGCCCTTATATCTTACTATGCTGCCCCCAAATTCAAATATATTGCAGACAATAACAAATACAGATGAAAACATTTTTGTGTAAAGCTCAAACCTTTAGCATCTAACAAGTGCACTCTAGTTCCAGCATCTATGAAAAGAATACATCCTCCATTAACAAATACAAACGGGTAAGTGCTTCTCCCCTCCCTCTCCATAAAGCTCTCTGGACCTGTTATCACATAATGCAGATCATAGGAAAAGCGGTCTCCTTGCCTCATCAGTCCAACCAGCTCCAGCTCACCTTTGCTGGAAATTGTCATGATGCACATTACCAACACAGTGTTTAGGAAAAATGAGTAAACACACCTTTTATTCACACCTTACAATAAAATAAAATAAAATAAAATAAAATAAAATAAAATAAAATAAAATAAAATAAAATAAAAACAAAAACCCCATAAAGAGTTATGCATTGGTTCTACATCAATAAAACCAGCTTTCCAATGTACTGATTATAAACTGGACGTGTTTGGTGTCAGCACAACCTAAACAAAAAAGCAAAAAATAAAAAGCCATCACAACAAAATCTTTAAAAAACCTCAAAGGAAAAACCAGGTCCCAGACAAAGATTCAAGATCAAAACCTTTTGGAAAATTCTTTAAAAAAGAAAAAAAAAATCATTTATTTAAACAGTATGTAATTTTATTTTCTCTTAAAAACAGAGTAAGCACATTTAAGTGCTGAATATTTTTCATAAAATTTTAAGTCATTATTCAAAATGACTCATTTTCTGTATAAAAACTGTTAATAACATTTCAACATGTTTTTCTTACTGCTCACATGTTGTCCTTTTGCTCCCCTGCCTGCAGTTGAAACAAAAGCAGTTAGACCAAGTTCCCTCTGAATTCATTTGATTTTTGAGAGAAGAATGAATGAGAACAGAATACATACAAGTTAACTCTGCAAAGTTAAAAGCTAGCTTTAATCTCGCATCTACTACTGATGTTATGGGCAAAATACAGGGTGCAACAGAACTTTTACCTTGGCTGACCTATTAAAATGACTTAGTCACTTTATAAATGATCTGAAGAATTGTCTCAGGGACCTGTTTTGAAAATACATCTCATTTACACTGCTTCATAAATGGAAAATTATTTAAAAAATAAAAAAAGGAATGATTTTTAAAAAAACACGGAGATGAAGGAATACGTGGAAAACAAAGAATTCACATGATAGTAGTATTCCGGGTGACGGACGGCATTGTGCAATGACACCAAGAAGCAGTGCTTGGGTCTGGTGAGCAAAGACCCAGGGACCCACCTATGAACATGTTCCAAAATGTGATATTCAATGCTTCACAATGGAAAAAAAAGCCACAGCTTATACAAAAGCGTTTTCATAAAATTCTCACAAATGTTAAACAGTATTTAAAAAATATAAAAGAGGCTGCACAGATTTTCTCTGCATGCACAGGCAGTGCTTGGTGAGAACAAATTTAGGCAGGCACAGTGGAGATAGGACAGGAAGTGTCTCAAAAAGGAGTTAAGAAGCTGCATCCAAGCAGCTGTAATTTTTTAACTTAAAAAAGTTAAAGATTTAAAAATATCAGAATGTACATATATCAACCATTACATTCAGTCCATAAATGCCTACAGATCATTCACTGCTCAGCTTATCTGTCCTGGTAGATAGCTTTTATAAAAACCCAGGAATTCATGGATAAGTTGCCTCTGGTCTGAGAAAATGTCCAAAGCTTTAAGCAGATTTAGATTTAAAGAGCAATGTTCTCAGTTTAAAAATAAAGTAGTACAAAAGGGCCAACAAAACCCTAACAGTGCAAATCATCAGCAGAGAAAGTCTGTTGCAACTTCTTTTACAAGCTGGCCTTTATAACACATGAAACAGTAAAAAAACTTAGCCTTAGTTTACAATACAATCATTTCCAAATCTGATTTTTTTTAGTACAAAATTTCATAAATCAGGTCTTCTGTGGATCATATACAATCATAAAGGCTAAATTCAAAGTCTCTATTTTACAAACAAGTCTGAAAAGGGAGGGAGTAAAGTATGGAAGAATGGTCTCTGGATGTTATTACTGGCCTCAAAAAAGTAGTGCTACAGATTTCTGTGCAAAGAGAATATGCTGTTCAAACATTTTCCTATTTCAAGGCATGAAAATATTATATTGGATAGAAGAAACAGGAAAATTACTTGTAACAAATTAAAGAGAGGTGTAAACACACCAATCCCTGTCTAACAGTATATAAAGCATATTGGGCTCAGAATTTGTTGCTAGCACCTGGCTTTCATACTATATCCTTATCAAATAATCAAGATTGAAAATTCAAATCATCAAGAAAGAGGAAAAAAAAAGAAAAAACAAAACAAAACAAAAAACCCTGGTGGCCATACCTCACTCCCCTATAATCAGATTTTATGAGTTTACAAGTGAAACTGAGGTCGTCCTCTGAAGGTACTTAACTACCTCCTGCCAGGAAGGTGAATGCCGTTAACGTGGGGCAGGAAAGGCAGTAAGAGCTCCAGTTGTGCAAAAAGTGAGAAGTGGTCGGAGGGGATGAGTGGGTGTGGGCAGCCACTGATATTATTCTCAACTAGCCAATGGTGGTCCAGAGGTCCCAGGATGCCTAAAGTGTTCAGCTGAGGTTTTGAATAGAAGATGTAGTCAATGATACCCTGAAAAACAAGGAAAAAAAGATGAGGCCTCACATAAGCTAACACTGAAACACTGAGAGCTTTCAAGACGTACCCTCACAGTCATGCTTGATAAACATGTGGGAAGAGGCAGTACTACATAAACCAAATGGTCCCCCACATGTCAAATCTAGCAGAATGAAAACAGTTTAGGGATGATAATCATTCATTCTTCCTCATTTCTGGACTTTTTCACAATCTTTTTTTTTTTTTTTTAAAGATTTTATTTATTTATTTGACAGACTGAGACACAGAGAGGGAACACAAGCAGGGGGAGTGGGAGAGGGAGAAGCAGGCTTCCCGCAGAGCAGGGAGCCCGATGTGGGGCTCGATCCCAGGAC